TCAACAAATAGCATGGGTTAAAATTTTGTGTTCCCTCCTGTTAATTTTTGTGTTCCCAGAACGGTCTCTCCTGTTGAAATAAACTGGTACTATTTAATAAAGGTTACACTAATTAATAAGGCATACCAATCAAATAAATAGCTCTCGGAAAATAACCCAAATATTTGAAATATAAAAAAGTGTAACGAATTACAAAGTCTCAGAATAATATTTAAATGAAAGAATTTTACATGACTAGAAATTACTTGAAAATAATTCTACACAGAAGGTTCAAATGATATTTAAAGAATATATTAATTAGTATAAATTGGGATTTCAGTGAAGTTGGATAACTAGATGATAGAACCTTGAATGTGTATAAATATGTTGTAAATTTCTCTTTCATGTAATAATCAGTTAATCAATTAATTCATTCTTAACTTTTGTCTTGTAATAACAATAATATCTTAATAATACAACATGAACATAAATATCTCTTAAAAATAATCTTTTGCCAGTGGAATTATCCACCTGTTTCCAAAACCACATAACCTTTAACTCTAACTTAATTATTAATTAATTACTATCTTACCAGGGGGACGCCTTTGATAAGTATAGTTGTGTGTGTATGTTCTTTTACTTTTTATTTTCTTTATTTTTATTCAGATTAGGCAACACCTAAATAGTGGAAATCCTAGCTAGGTGAGGTCAGTTAAGAGACTGAACCATAAATATAAGTATCACAGTGGATACTTCAGATATTATAAATATCATTGAGATGTGCTGGCTCAGGTAGATAATGAAGAACTGCTGAGAAAACGTTACTGGAAGGGAAGTAAGGAAACTTGCCCTGTAAATAACTAAATAGCTTGAGCACTATAGGAAGAGAAAGTAATCAAAGAATTACATAATTGGATACTGCCATAAGAAGGGATAAATAATATTTTAACCAAATCCAAGAGATTTGTGTGAGACGCGGATTTTGATCTCACACCAGTTCTTGAAAATAAAACTGGTTCCAACCTCTAGTCCTTCCTACAGTACATATTGAATATGGCATACAATATCCTGAGTCTCTTCAATTGCGGTATTGCGAGTGTGCAATCCGAGTTTCCTATTTAATAGGTTATTTATAGCTCAACACACAGCCACCTCGCTGACTTACGGTTGATTCTATGGTTTGACACACAGCCTACTTGCTGACTTACAGTCAATTTCCTTTATTTATATATATGACACACAGCCTACTCGCTGACTTACGGTCAAAAATCAATAAAATATAACTTTTATCTTCTCAGATAAAAGGATCCCTAGGTTCTATATGTAATTATATCCCAAAGGCGTCCCCTTGAGATGTCTCTTAATAATTAGAATGTTGGTTACTTGCTATGGGCAGCAAAGGTTTCCCCTTTGTGTTTTATTAATTAATTAGAGATTATTGTTATTCAGGGTAAAATATGTTATGTGTTTTATTAGCAATAATAATATTATTATTACAGTGTATTAGGAAATATCAATTATTAGATCAATAATTAAAAGATTGTTATGAACATGATGATTCTGACTTGGTCTAAAACCAAGTCCTTTTATAC